AATTCATTCAAATGATAATAACGTAATTATTGATTGATTGATTCTTTACGCATTATCCAAAATGTCTGATTTTATGCTCCGTACTGTACAGTTCAGAAACCGAAAACTGCGTACCTATACAAATTTTCTGAGTTTGTTCGGTCAGGCTCGCTGCTAGTCCTGCTGTATAGTTCCATTCCTCGTCGCAGGCATTTTTGCCTCACCGTAACGAGTCAGAGGTTATTCCAGTGTTTCTGCGGCCAGTAGACGGCTCTCGAAAGAGAAACTTTTCAAACGCTTTCCCATTCCGTTTTCGGAACGTTTCATTCATGCATGTCTGATGTCACTACCTGATCAGTGACCACGGACTGTCTATACCTTCTGGTACACAACGGGTGCTAGTTATGCAATACACGTAGACGTGCAGAAAGAGAAGAAACAGGAGAATATAAAAGTGTGTTTCCATTTAGATTGCCTCGGTTCAGACAGCACTTTAAAGAAATCTTGCAGTGAATTTAGATTGTAGCAGTGACTACTTCGTTGCTTATGCTACGAACGGTGTCTTAGGATTCAGTGGCCGGTTTAAGACACTCTCTGTCTTCAGGACCATTGCCAGAGCTTCCAAATTCGCTGCTTTCAGACAGCATTACGCAGTGTTTTCAACACAGCCTGTTGACAGGTTCCATCATGCATGCAAAACTGACCTGCGCTATGCGACTTCATGGTTTTGAGACAATTTGCGAAACCGCGACGTTATGGATTATGATGAGCACGATTGGCGATATTGAAGGAAATGACCGGACCCAGCTCAGACCAACGGCGTCCAAGACCAGCGTCAGTCCAACTCTGCGCACCCCTCGTCCACTGGCTCGCAACCGTACACGGAAATGCCGAAAAGTACGCAAACTTGCTTTGCAATAGCCGACCACCGAGGTTCGGGCAAACCGTACCGATGTTCGGCACGTCCCAGATTAATTTCACGGTCCGGCGGCATTTGGCCTACCGATCGTGCAATAGGCGTGTTGCTTTATGAATCGAGCTTCGGGCAAAAAACCCTTACTGTCACGTGGTGGCGTTCGATACGCAAGCAGAGGCGGGGCGAACCGGTTTGCGCCGGCCCTCCTCATAAAATAACAGTCTTGACTCCTGCGACACATTGACCAGCATGCACTTCGCCACGCTGAGCGTCACTCTGCTTTCGCTGCTTCTCGCCGTCTGCTCGTCCCGAGCCGATGAAGGCTGCGATGACAGCATCAAAAACTACCTGGAGTGCTACAGTGAAGTCAAGGAGGTAGCGGATGAGGTTGTCAAAAAACTCGATACTTTCGATGACAATCTCGACGCCTGTTTCACCAGGTAACGCTCTTATGGAATGGCTTGTTTGTCGTTTATTGCACAGTTGGTCACCTAGGAAGTTTATCAGGTTAGCGTTTTAAACATGAAAGGCTTTCAAGGCAACCACTGAAAGCGTAGCTCAAACGTTATGAGAATATACTCCGTGCACGTGCTCGTGTAAGTCCACTGCTGTAAATAGGATTCACCACCAGAGCATCTGTTTACCCATGTCAGGTTGCGTTTTCAACATGACGAACACACGAAGACATACATCTGTGATTTGTAGCCGACCAGTCACTTTGTACTGTAGGTGACGGACTAGCGTTAAACGTGCGAGTTAAAAGTTG